ACACAAATAACAGACACACGGAAAGAGAAATAAGGGAAAAAATTCCTTTTACAATAGCATCCCAAAATATGAAGTATCTAGGAATCAATCTAACAAAAGAAAAAAAAGATCTCTACACTGAAAACTACAGCACTCTGAAAAAAGAAATTGAAGAGGATATAAAAAAATGGAAAGATATCCCCTGCTCCTGGGTAGGAAGAATCAACATAGTGAAAATGGCCATACTACCAAAACTGCTATATACATTCAAACATTTTTTTTTTAAGGGTGAGACAAGATGAGGCAAGCCAACATCATTTAAAGAAAAGAAACATTCCCCAAAATGTATTTAGCTTGGTGTTACAGGCATCAATGCTTCCACAAGCAACACTACTTAATATATTATGGAAACAGGCCACATACAAGCAGGAAGATGCCAGGCCACTCAGAAACAGTGCTTGGAAAACAATTATTAGGGAGAATGGAACATAGGTCTCCAATACACTGATCTTCATTTTCTGCTGTGGGACCACAGGCCCATACACAGTGTTTGGCTGGTTCCCTATTATTAAGCAGTGAGTCTTGTACTCCAGAGAGCTTTGAGTGATGCACACTTATTGTATGTCTGAACCATTACTGAAATCAGAGTCCACTGAAGGCTTAATTATTTCAATCACCATATTTTGCAACTACTTTAGGCAGTAATGGACTATTTTACAGTGCTGTAATTAAAATTCCATACTTGATACATTTAGCACTGTTACAACCTACTCAAATCACCTATACAGTCCTATGATATATACTTGAAACAGATAGCAGAAAGTCATTGGTGTAAATTTAGGGCACTTAACTTGGGTTAAGGAGCTGTTATGTTAGATCTGAAAAATGCTATGTCAGTTAATTGTCAAGTTATTTGGTATCATTTTTTAAAAGAAGGATTTTCCTGACCGGGCAGAAAAGGATTTCAAAATTTGTGCTAGAGACTAGTCAAAATATTATAAGCAGTAGTATATCATGAATGCTTGGCTATGTGAGGAAAAACTATTTAGCAAAAGATTGAGTGAGAAACCTATGAAATATCTAGTCTTCTCTCCTTGAATTTTCTGATTACCATTCACTTCCTTTTATTGTAATAAGTTTTCAAGATGAGAAAAACTTTGACTACACATAGAAAATCGTATTTTGGAAGTGAGTCACAAAAGATAGATACTGTATGAACATATATATATATATATATATATTTATACATATATATATGTATATACACATATACATTGTGTGTGTGTGTGTGTGTGTGTGTGTGTGTGTGTGTGTGTATTTTTTAAAAAAGATTTTCTGAGTCAGGATCTTGCTAAGTACTTACTTCAGGCTGGCCTTGAACTCAGTGTATAGTCCAGGCTGGCCTTGAACTCATGGTGATTTTCCTGCTTCAGCCTCCTGAGTGAAACGACATTATTAGATTGCTCAGAATAGGCATAACCATAGAGAAAGAAAGTAGATTAGTGGTTGCCTATGGCCGAGGGTACTGGAAAGAATTAAGAGATGACTGCTACAGAGTTCAGTGTTCCTTTTGGAGTAATGGCCTAAATAGGACCAAGATCATGTTCACATGAACTTTAGGAATATATTTAAAAAATCACTTAACTGTACCCATAAAGAAGATGAATTACAAAGTATGTGAATTATATCTTAGGAACAGTACTATGAAAACATATTAGGAAAAGGTAGTCCCCAAAGAAGAAACAATAGGAGGCTCGACCACATCAAGTTGTACCTGAGGAAATTATAGATGAGCCCAATATAACAGGTTGGTTTTTTGCACAGTATTTTAACTTATCCTTCCATTCCTGACTTCATATTTTTAACACATTTCTAAATTATTTTACATTATCAACAGATTCTAACCTTGCTCTCATTAGAGAGAAGAGTCAGTACTACACATCTTTGGCTGGTAAATGAAAAAAAAATCAATGTCAAAATAATCTTGTCCTTTGAGGCTGTGTATTAGTGGGCAGGACAGAAGAGCTGAGATTCATTATTAATGGAAAAAATACCATTAAATATAAGGGCATCTCATGACTCTGCCTAAAGCATATTTACTTTTTAAACTGGCATACAGTTTATGCACCTATTAAATTTAACAGAAAGTAATGTTTTTATAGTTAACACAATTCAACTAAAGCAATGTTTTCTACAAAAAATAAAGTTGAGCCTCCTGCAGTTTTTTTTTCTCAAAGAGCTATTCACACTTTTCTAAGGGTAAAATTACTATTTTTTAAAAAATTCAACTCTGGATCCTCATCTTCACCTTTAGCACCACACAGTGAAGATGGAAAATGGTAAGCTTGCTATAAATTTGAAGCTACATATCAATTTCTTAAAGGATCTTAATTTTCTAAAAAATTGAATATATTAGTCATAAATATTTAGAACACATTTGGCCCAATTCCTTTAAGTCTGCCTTTAATGACATGTGTCCTTTATTCTCACTAACTTACCAGTTTAGTATGAAATAAACTAACAGACTCTAAAAAAGTTAAAACAGCTTAATCAGTTTGCCCTGTTACTATTCTGCATAGGCAGGATAAAGAAATCAGAAATGGCTTTTTGGTCTATTATCAACTAGTCTTACATTACATAATGGGAATTTTTATAGCTAACTGAAAAGAATACAAGTAGGTTTATAGCAAGCTGAACTTGTTAAATATGTTACGACAGAATTTCTGACACAAACATTGCTCATTGCACTTGATCTCAGAGAAGTGATGAAACAAGACAAATGATTTTAGAAAGCATAGGGAGTGAGGTGGGGTGAGTAGTCATGAATAAATGAAAAATTGGAGGTGGGAGATTTAGCTCAGTGATTCCACCTCCTGCCTCACAAGCACAAGGTCCCAAGTTTAATCCCCAGAAAAAGAAAAAAAGGCAATTATCTACAAAAGCAGAGCCACTTTCCAGTGGACATTAAAACATAATGAGAGGGCCTGAGAATCACCTCAGTGGTTCTGCTGCCTGCCTCGCAAGTGCAAGGTCCCAGGTTCAATATAAATATACATATATGTACAGTGAGCAGTCACCACTTTGAAATGTGATAACTGAAGATAATTTCACTGTAATTTGGGGCAGCAAAATGCAGTAGTTATACAGTAACTCCAAAATGTCTTAAAAAGTGTACACAAGAGATATTGAAAACAAGCACAAAAACCATCACTATTTCCATTTTCATGTGTTGAAAACAGCGACTTTTATCAAAGATGCAAATTTGTTTCAAATGGAAAATATTCTCTATATGGAAGATCAAAGACTCATTTCACAGATAATATATACTTCCTTAACAGTATCATTAGCAGTGTACAAAGAGAGGGCAAATATTTCTTCTGGAATTAGGTCTCAAAAGTCAATATACATACTGCTGGGGGAAGGTAATATTTCACACTCCAAACTCCCGAGTTCAGCAATGTGTCCTGTCCTGATACTACAATTTCCAAAAATCTTCAGGGCGCAGTGACTCGAGTTTTCTCAACTTCAACGATATCTCAGGGGCCAATGCATCTTGGTCTGAAGAATTTGTTGTATCCGAAGGCCCGAACAGTATTCGACCACGATGGTTAAATACATAAAAGGATGGGTGATTCCTTAAGGTGTCACATGTCTTATTCTTCAGTTTTGAGGTGGCATCCACATCTGTAAATTCCCCTGCGACATGAACTATACCGTAACAGGTAACTGCGAAGGCCAGAAGTGTCTGAAGAACTATATCTATTGGCAGTGCTTCGTCGTCTTTTTCTTTTAATCGCATATAGGAACGATGCTGTGCAGCAGAAAAGGTAGCATGGCCTAGGGCAAAGAGGCCAAGGCCTAGTACCCCCTTCCACGGTGTGAGCGCCATAATTATGAATGAGCAGCAGGAGGACAGAGGCAGCGGAAGCGGAAATGGTCCTCCTCCTTCCCACGGCGCCTGCGCTGCACAGTAATATGACGTCACAAAGACCTTGGGAGCCAAGTACCTTTACCGGTGGGTTTGACGGGTGTTTTCCAGGCAAGGACAAACCTTTGGCAGCCTGTTTTACTACTTGGGCTTTCTCAGTTTCAGATTCTTTAGTGATGACAAGAGGAAGAGCGAGTAGGCAAAAAAGAAAACTCATCAGCTTTTCATTAAAACACCAGTTATACTGGAAGTGTTCCTTTGTGATCAAAGGGGCAGAAATTTAGTAAACCGTAAGCCTACTTGCATTTGCAGAAGGACCTGCTGAAGCCCATGGTTGTCCCACACAACCATCACACTGAAAGGTCTAAATATCCTCTTTGGAGCAGACATGGAAAAACAACCAACATGAGACCGAGAGCTACAGCTTCAGGGTCTGGGAGTCCCAGGAATACTTCATTAGCACCTTTCCTGGACCAGATGGGGCCCCGAAGGTTTCCAGGGCACACACTGTACACCTCATGGTGTTTCTTTCCTCCAATTTAGGGGAAACTCACTTCTGCACTATGTAAATTCATTTTCTGTTGGTTTAATAAAATACCTGAGGTTGGGTATTTATTAAGAAAAGAGATATATTTAGCTCACAGATTTGGAAGGTTAAAGGGCAGGGCACTGGCTTCTGCTCAGCTCGGGTGAGGCCCTGGTAGTAGATGGCATCACAATGGCAAGAAGAGGCATGGAAAACATCACATGGTGCAACAGGAAGTCAAAACGATTTAGGGGTCAGGTTCCCTTCTTTAAAATAACTCATTCTCTCAGGAACTCACTCTGTGAGACACCATTAATTTTTCTCCTGAGAGGAGCACCCCTAATGATCTAACCACTTATTGTATTCTACCACCTTAATGCTACCACACTAAGGAACAAGCAAGCTTCTAGTACATGAACCTCTGGGGAACAAACCATATCCAACCCATAGCACAGATTAAAAAGGACAGTGTGTGTAGGGCTATATGGTAGTCTCCCAATGTTATGAGAAAAGTGACAAACATCATGCATTTGGTAAACTTTATGAATGAAAAATCTCAACTCAATTCTGAAGTCAAATGATATTTTCCAGTAAGTGTTAGAAGTTGTTATGGTTTAGATCTAAACTGTCTTCTACAAGGCTTGTTTGGAAGGTGACTAGTTAGTTCATGAGGGAGCTATACTCATCAATATAGCATTAGTCCACCATAATATGATTTGCTGTTAGGAGGCAGGGCCTAGTTAAAGAGAGGTCACCACAGTGTTGACCCATGTTCTTGTCCCTGATCCTTCTCTCTCTACTCTCTGGGTGCCATGAAGGGAGGAGCTCTTCTCTGCAATGCCCTTCCATTACGCTGCTTCTGCCATGGAGCCAGCCAACCATGGACTGAATCCCTTGAAAACTAAACCTATCATCCTTTAAACTGTGGGTATCAGGTATTTTGGTCCAGTGATGGGAAACAAAGACAGATGTTTAAATTAATTTCAATGAATTTTCATAAATGCATGACACGATACTGACTGCTGGGTATTTTGTTGAAAGACACAATTTTCCTACCATATACAAGGACTAATTTGTTAGCTTTACTACAGGAAGAATATTGCTTGGGGAGAAAAAGAGGTTTTAAAAAAACCTTATTCTGTTCCTTACAAATTAGAAAAAAACAGACCAAGAAAAAAAAATCTTAGCAATGAGAAGAAAGGGAAGGGAAGAGGTTTCTTATAAACCCTCCAGCAAGGGGAAAAGAAATATTTGTTCAGAGTCTAACCTGTGTGAATTGCTTTCCACTCAGAAGTATTTTCATTATTTCAAACTATTTAAAGTACCATATTTACCATTTTACAGATGAGGCAACTGAAGCTCAGGGCATTGCAAAAATAGCCCCAACAGTATGAGTCCAGTACTCTGCCAGAACAAGGCTTATTACACAGTGCCATACTGATCTTCTAAGAAATGGCCTTGGTTGGGCAGACAGCACAGCAATGAGCTTGTGGAGTTGCTAAAAAAGAATTTAAGAGGCTACCAAGATTTGGGTAATTCTCACAAGCTAGTGGTTTTTTCATTCATTGTTTTGCTGAATCCAACATATTTCTGGTGTTTCTGAAAGTACTGAAGGAAGCCATGGTGTCCAAGCATAACTGGGTAAGAACATGTCAATTTTACCTCATGTTCATGAGGCCCAGGCACTTCTGGGCAGTGAAAATAAGGAAGAGAACCTACCCATATATTGTTAAACTTTTCCATTTTCAAAATATTTAAGATATTTTTCTGAACTTTTAATGCACTGGTAGAAAAATGATGAATGTTGAATATTTTGTTTCATTTCATTTAGTTTCCAGGACCAACACCAAGGACCATATAGTGCCTTAAGGAAGTCAGTCGTATGAGAGTATGTGTTCAACATGAATATTTAAAATTATTTTCTTCATCATAAAAGTAAGAGTTGAATGGACATGCCATGGTTTGCATTAATTTATTTGAGTCATCTGTTGAGAGCTCATCATGTACAGAAGTTCTGTGCCAGACAGGATAAGGGTGACTAAAAAATGTTGAAAAGAAGGCAGCTAAGAAAGGAGATTACAATTTCTGGGGATGATGGATAGATACACTGTATTGCTACCATCACTAATGAACACAATGGAAGGAGAAAATGATGAGATTTACTGCACGCTAAAATTACAAGGCGAATTACTGCAAATTATTTTACATACATTTTAAAAGCCTGGCTCAGTGAGATTGAAAATATGCACACATTTGCACACGTCCCATCTTCATGACCAAAGAATACATTTTTGTGAAGCTCACAACATATGTCTACAAGTCACAAAACAGGTGTCAAATAAAAACTTATTTGATTGAATCAAGCATGTCAGATGGTGACTGAGATTCAAATTTTAGCCTTTGGAAAAAAGCTAAGGATATATTTTAATTTGATATTTAATACTCTATTAATAGTTCTCTTAGATTCTTCATAAACATCCATTTCCCAAACATCTCCATATGACATCAGTATTGAAGAAGAGCCTAAGATTCAAAAAGCAACCAACCCTACCATAAGATAGAAATGACATCAATTGAAATCAAACCCTGAACCTATTAAACATGGTATCTTCCCTGAGTTAAGTCTGCTAAGAATACAACAACTGGCCTCTTGTCTTTGCTGCTATAAATAACCAGCGCTTTTTTAATTTAAAGGGAAATCTAAAAGACTAAAGTAGCAGGTTTCTACAGATAAATGTCAACGCCTGTGAAACAATATGGCAAGCAACTTCTCTTTGTCTTTGACATATTGGCCTTCAAGGCTTTAGGTGAATGTCTGAGCCAGCATAGACTTACTTTAAGTTTTAAATAACTAAGAGACTGCATAGCATCTTACTTTAATAGGCCAGCTCAAACACTTAAAAAAATGATCATGTCTCCACATAAAGGTGTACCACATACCAGCAATAAAACCCTTGACCTGGGATAAGAAATTTAACCTCCGTTTCAATTCTTCCATCTGATAACAGGAATAATAATACTGGCATGTACTTCACAGAGTGGAGTGAGGATGAAATGAGAATGCAAAATGTAGGCTTAACACTTCCTCACTGTTACAGGCTGAGTTGAGTCTTCTTTATTAGAAATGCCTGGAATCAAAAGCGTTTCAGATTTTAGGGGGAAATATTTCTACACACAGTGAGATATTTTGGGGATGGAACTCAACAACAGAAAAATTCATTTAAGTTTCATGTACACCTTATGCACACAGCCTGAACATAATTTTCCACAATACTTTGATTGCATTTGTGTTTTGACTATGGAGCCTTCACATGGTATGTCAGTGCTCAAAAATTTGGATTTTGGAGCATTTTGCATTTAGAATTAGGGATGCTATCCTATATCCTCTTCTCAGAAGTTATAGTTTTTCCAGTTAGTCACTAAATGACTAATAGTTTAGCCATCCTTACGCTGTAAAATGGGATGGATGCATTTACAGAAAAGTATAATGAATGAATGCACAGCTCATTAAAAAGGACGTATCTCAGCAGCCCCACCTGGAAATAAGAAATAAAAACTGCCAGCTGCCAAGAAGATTCTTGTGTAGTTCTGTCCACCCACTTCCTCTATTTTCCCTAAAGTATACACTATTCTGTTTCTAAAATACTTTAACGTTCTTTCAAGGTGGTCTTAAATGACTTAGTGTATGGCACACACACAATATAAGTTGGCTAATTTGTCTGCTCATTAAAACAAAATAAAATAAGAGGTTCTCTCAAGCAGTTTTCTGCCCCCTTGTATCGCATTGCTCTCGAATTTTATTTGCAACTCTATTCGATGCCTTTCACTCTTGGCCTGTTCTGGGGCATAAGCAGCCTGCAGCCATCATGCTGAATGTGGCCTTGGCTCTTTACACCATGCTGATTCCTAACAATGGTTTACAGCTATTAAATGCATATTCCTCCAACTTGGTCCCGTTAACTGCTTATATAAAGCCTTCTCAACCTGTAGCCTTAGAGATTGCATCTTGTTGATATGATTTGCCCAGAAAATAGAAAAAAATGAGATAATAATTCCAGCACTGTCTTAAAACAAAAAAGTGGAGGACTAGTGTATTAGGAAGAAAGTCTGTTCATAGCACACCATATATCTCAGGGTCACCTGATCACACCACAGTGGCAGCTCTGTGTTACACCAGCACGTGGTTTTCTACACACCAAGCAATCACTATGCAGCTGCTGTTTTGCCACTGCACTTGGTGAACTTTTCAGAAGAAATGGATCCTTATTCCCTAGGCCTATTTTGAATTCTGCTGTTATCAGGAGGGACGGTTTCGTGACAGCACAAACTCAGCACCCCAGGCAGATCCCTTCTGAAGCATGTGGTGCTTGTCTGCATCTTCCCTCATCTACTCCAAGGCCTTTCTTACTCAGCCCAAGGATGAGTGCAGCCTAGAAATGTGTGCATCGAAAGCAGGGGATGGGAGCCCTAACTGTCCACAGTGGATGGCTTAGTAACCTAACATCTTCATAGTGGATTTTCTTTGACACTGCTGC